TAGGGTGGAGGGTCAACGAAAGAGGGGGAGGCCTTCAACGAGATGGATTGACATGGTGGCTGTGATGATGGGCTCAAGTATAGCAGGGATTGTGGGGTTGGCGCAGGATCGGGCAGTGTTTTGTTCTGCTATGCATGGGGTCGCAATGAGTCGGAAATGACTCGATGGCACTTAACAACAACAACACAACAAAAAAACAAACTCACTGCTGTCAAGTCAATTTGATGCATAGTGACCTCTCCTTGGGTTTCCGAGGTGGTATCTCTACAGAAGTAAATTGCCCAGTCTTCCTTCCCAGGAGTGGCTGGTGTGTTTGAACCTTCTGGTTAGCAGTCAAATGCCTTAGGCACTACACCACCAAAGCTTCCACAATAATAATAATTTATCCAAAATTTCCTATGTGTTGGTCACTATGCTAAATTCTTTTGCATGGATCATCTCACCTACCTCTTAATAACCAAGAGGCAAGTTTCTGATAAGAAAAGGAGGCACACAGAGGATAAGTCACTTGCTTATGATTTCAGTGTTGTGCAGTCAGGAATTTGAACCCATGAAGTTTTATTACAGCGCCTACAGTGAACTTTATTTTTCTGAGGCTATGTTTATGGAACACCCTGTGTCTGAAGTCCTACCTGAGCACTTTGGTTTGTTTGTTATCTGGTGGAGGCTGCACATAAAGTGAAAATATCATCAGTTCTTTTTATAGCCATATAATAAGCACTAGTATGATATGTCATTATTATACATTTTTGAAAGACACAGGAAGATTGAGAAGAAAATACAAAAGCAGGAGCCTGAGACTTTGCTTCCAGTTCAGTTTCTGCTGCTGACTCACTGTGAAAATTTCTCAAGCAACAGCATTTCTGGGGCTTCGTTTTCTAATGGGTGAAATGAGGATAGTGCAATAAAAGAATCTATTAAATTTTTATGACTGAAATGAAATAATACAAGAAGGATTATCACAAGGGGCTAAAACAATGAGTGTTTATTGTACACTTAACCGAAGTCATCACCACTTGTCTATCAATTAGCCATACTATGGGAGCTCTGGTAGCATAGTGCCTGAGACACTTGACTGCTAACCACAAGGCTGGCAGTTCAAACCCACCAGCCACTCCTCGGAAGGAAGGTGGAAGGTTAGGCAATCTACTTCCGTGGTGATACTGCCTGAGAAACCCAAGGAGGGGTCGCTATGAGTCGGGTCAACTTGATGGCACATGACAAAAACAAAGCGGTGACTTACACGTCACTGGAAGCTTCTTGTTACGTGCCATCGAGTCGGACCCAACTCATAGCTACCCCTCCTTGGGTTTCCGAGACAGTACCACTATGGAAGTAGATTGCCCAACCTTCCTTTGGAGGAGTGGCTGGTGAGTTTGAACCACCAGCCTTCTGGTTAGCAGTCAAGTGCCTTAGGCACTGTGCTACCAGAAGCTATGCCACTGATAACCATCAGGTTACTCATGTTGAACAGTTTTAAGTGGAGTTTTCAGACTAAGACAGGCCAGGGAAGGAGACCAAATGATCAAGTTCTGAAAATAAGCCAATGAAAGCCCTGGGGATCACAGCAGAATAGTGTCTGATAATTTGACTGTTAACTACAAGGCTGGTGGTTCAAATCCATTAGCCACTCCTTGGAAGGAAGAGTGGTCAATTCACTTCCCTAGAGATACCACGTCAGAAACCCAAGAAAGGGT